ATTGTTAACACTAAAAGTGACACGTGGCAGCCTCTCTATATATATTTTTTAAATATGATAATTTTTGGAAGTTCTAATTAAGAAAAGTTTAAAGAATTTGAAAAGAGATATTGAAAAAAAAAATTATCTATTAGAATATGGTTTTAAATATTTATAATTAATTTATGAAGATAATTTGATATTAATTAAATGTTTACTTTATAAGTTAATATATGGATCACATTTTTATTTTAAAGAATCAATAGAAAAATTCTAAAATCTAGATGGACAAATGTCAAAACTAAGTAAAAATTAGATATTAAAAATAAAAAATTATTAACACCAAAAGTGACACGTGACAACTTAGAAGAAACTTTAAAATATTATATTAGATAATCCCATTTGTGGAGATACAAATGTACTATTAATGACTTAACAACTCCCCATAAATCCAGGTATTTCATTAATTATTTTATAGAGGCCTAATATTCGTAAAACAACTACTCTTCTCACAAAAATATTAATATAGTACGATTTTTAGAGATTCAAATGTATTTAACAGCTCCATAATAAATCCAGCTATTTCATTAATTAATTACTCCATTTTATAGAGGCCTATAGTATTCGTACCACAACTACCCTTCTCACACAAATATTGTATAGTCCGATAATTAGAGATACAAATGTATTAATGAATTGTCTGTTTTATAAGATGCCTGAGCTGTATAATCCATCAAAGCTGTATAGTCCGATCTCGTTTTCCATGCTTCAGAATTTTTATATTAACATTGCTATATAGTTGATCCCATCGTTCAAGGCTGAATTAGAGATCACTAAATATGAAGCTAAGATTCGATCCCAAGGATCTAGAGGAGTTAACAAGGAATGTGAAGCAAATACAAAACGATGTATTGGAAGAGATACTCAAAGCAAACGCCAACACTGAGTACCTCGGACGTTTTCTCCATGGAAGCATTGATAAAGAGCTCTTCAAGAAGAACGTACCGGTGGTGAGCTATGATGACGTGAAGCCTTATCTGGATCGTGTTGCAAACGGAGAGCCTTCAGATATAATTTCGGGTGAAGCCATTACTACATTCATCCGAAGGTACATATGTTATATTATCCATATATTTTAGCAATATTAATAATGATACGGTTTAAAAGATATGGGGACAAGGTGTAATCTTGTTTTTCTCTCAGGTCGATGTTCATTAGGAACTTTTTTTATTTTAAATTAGGACAATTCTCAAAAATACCATACTTTGAAATTTGTTTCCAAAATTACATTTTTTTTTCAAAAGTTCCAAAAATACCACTATCTGGTAAGGGTGAAATTATTATCCGGATCCGAGATCCGATCCGTTATCCGTTCGGAATCGCTCCGAAAATTAGGATATCCGGAGAGCCCGGATCCGGATAACAAAATTTTAAGGTCCGAATATCCTGATCCGGATCCGGATGCATTAAATATATTTAAACCATATATATTATATATCTATTAAACTAATTTTATATAAATAAATATATATAAAAATTGATTTTAGTTCTTTTTATAATAAATTATATTTATAATGAAAAATACCATTTAAAATATTAACTAATAATTTTTAAAAATATATTTTTATTTATTTATTAATTATTTTAATTATTTTTAATATTAATTTCGGATCCGGATCCGGATCCGCGGATATCCTGATTTTTGGAAAGACTCCTAGAGCCCGGATATTCGGAGGTCACGATTCCGGATCCGGGTAGTTTTTTCACGGATCCGACGATTCCGGATTCGGATACTCTGAAATTCTAGGATATCCAGAATCGTCCCACTGGTCAATGTTTCAAAAATACCACAAAATAAAATTGACTTTCAACATTCAAAGG